CTCTCTCTCTCTCTCTCTCTCTCTCTCTCTCTCTCTCTCTCTCTCTCTCGCCGTAGCGGTATCTTCAGCGCAGCAGGTAAGTAACCAATCTTGTATCAGTCATCTCTCTCTCTCTTTCTCTCATGGTCTTCTTGTTGCAGGTGCGCGGCTTCTCCTTCCACCTCGAGGTCCGCTATGGCGGACTACCTCCTCCGGCAGCACTTCAGCTATGGCCGATCGGTCCTGCACACATAGCGCGCATGGAACAGTGGGTACCAGCTCCGATACCAGTGAATTCAAACTCGTCTTCTTGTCACTTTGTCATGCCTGCAAACAGCGGTACAGCAACTGGCGACATGCGCCCACACAGTACTCAATAACCAGATATGAGTTCTCTTCAACTGGCTATGGCGACTGGGCGCCCACACAACTCACTGTTCGCACTCTGGATCACCCTGGATGTCCCACACGCAACACCCAGTATTATACACAATACACACACATACTATGCTACAGCTATGGCAGCGGTAGCTGCCTCTACCCTATCGCTACACTACACTTCTCTGCCCACTTCGTCTTCGGGCGCACTGCAGACCGCCTCTCACAAGCTGCTAAGGCAGCTTTTTCGCCTGGCATCCGCAGGAATCCATCATGAATGGACGCAGCCTCTTGATTTATACTTGTGTGCTGCATTGGTCTGCCTTGTGTCCCTGGCCCATGGTGCACACAATTCTCCCCGTGGTACTTGCTGGAGCGGACTGGTACTTTCTAGACTCTCTCCAACATGGGCTTGCTTTAGTCACACCACTTGCCCGCTTGCCTTCACCACTTGACCACTTGCCTGCACCACTTGACCACTTGCCTGCACCACTTGACCACTTGCCTGCACCACTTGACCCACTTGTCTGCACCACTTGACCACTTGCCAACCTTCTAGAAGGACTGCAGCTAGCCTTCTAGTCTATAGGTCTACGGATCGAATCCTGGCTACCTATAGACCTACGACAGACCGACCTACCACTGGCGGTTCTACAGGTCGCAGGTTCAACTCTTTGAGTTGACGCAGGTATTGTACACAGGTAAGTTGGGGAACTAGGGATCGAGCCCTGGGATCTACCTCAGCTACCACGAATTGGTGAATACCGTTTCAGTGCCTGTGAGCTCTTTTTTTTTTTTTTTTTTTTTTTTGTTGGGAAATGTGAGCTCATATTGCTGGGAAGTAGAGCTTTTTGTGTTTTTATTGTTCCAATTTTGGACTGACCATTGCGGGGAGGACTTGGGAATTCGTTCGGACTTCCCATCTGTTAAAACTGGAACGATACAGGGAATGAATGTCAGAGAGGTACAGAGAAAGAAGATTAGCATGCGCCCTGCGGCCCGGATTCAAAGGCCGATTTCAAAGGCCGAGTTAAGCCGTGTGTGACGGAAAGCCGTGGATTGGCGAATGAGGAGCGACAGTTGGACGGACCAGGCCAGTTGTGCCACCGGGAACACAGAAAGAGGATTAGCATGCGCCCTGGGGCCCGGACCCAAAGGGCGATTTAAGCAGTGTGTGACTGAAAGTCGTGGATTGGGGAATGAGGAGGTGCGAAGCGCGATGGTTGGCCGGCCCAGCAAGCTGCGCCACTGGTAACACAGAGGAAGAACATTCTCTACCGGGTGGGCGCTGGGAACGCAGCCTTAAGGTAGCCAAAACAATGAGACTAATCGTGTGTGTGTGTGTGTGTGTGTGTGAGAGAGAGAGAGAGAGAGAGAGAGAGAGAGAGAGAGAGAGAGAGAGGCTGAATGACAAAATTGAAATATGGGTCCGATTATTTTGCAGTAAATTTGAAAACAACAAAATCTATGAGCAGTCCAGTTTTCAGCATTTTCCACGCATTCTTGAGAGCGGGAAAAATCACTGAAGTTGGAGTACTTTTGCCTGGCCCTCAATGCCTGGGCCTGAGGGCATTGGGCATTGGCCCCTTCTCTTTTTGGGGTCCCCTTCCACCCGAGGACCGGTCCTTCCTTTTTCCAATAGTCCCGGTTCTAGAAGAGCTAGCTGTGGGTCGTTTGCAATATCTTGAAGGAGCGGTCCCCCAAAAATTTCCACCCCCTAAGAACCCACTTGCATCCTGGCTCCCGGCCGCCGAAAAATGCAACACCTTGACACAGATGCTGAAGCCCACTATACCGCCGCCTAAGGGTTGCAAATTAGCATGCGCTGTAGCGGACCTCTGGTTGGCCTGTGAGACCAGCCCCTTGGCCTGTTCTCACAGACCTGTGTTTTATTCGGGGCAGTCCAGTCCAGGCCGGTACCAGCCAGTCCAGTCCAATCCCGTCAGTCCGCTGGGGTATACCCCAACTGTGTTTGTTTTCGGGCTCATTCTGCATTCGCACAGTTCGGAGTACGTGCGTTGGAGTCTGGCGTGGGAGCTGCGCTGTGCGATCTCGCTCCACTTCTTCCTCAATCTCCATTTCTATCCCCGGCGGAGCACCACACCTGGTGGGTCCACCACATTGGTATCGGAGCGGGAACGGTCCCTGTTCCCACCCGCCACACCGCACATACGGGAAAACAACAAATCCTGCAAGCGGGATTTTTGCTATTTTCTGGCTGTTTTCGCCGAAAACAGAGGGAAAAAAGGTGCAGCAGCAGGAGAGTGACACATGGTGAAAAGGGAACTGCTGTCACGACGCGTGCGCGAAGCGCCAAGGCCAAGGCCGCCGCAAAAAGGTGCAGCAGCAGGAGAGCAACGCGTGGCGAAAAGGGAACTGCTGTCACGACGCGTGCGCGCAAGCGCCAAGGCCAAGGCCGCCGCACCACGCACACGCGCCACGTGCCCACGTTGCCCCGCTGCCCCGCCCCCCTCCCGGATTTATATTATCAAGATCCGGGATGCCGCACCACGTACACGTGCCACGTGCCCAGGCTGCCCGGCTCCCGGATTTATATTATCAAGATTCGGGATCTTGCTGCCACTGGGGTTTGAACCCATGCACCTGCTGGGGCTATGCGCGTGCGTAGCCACCCTCATAAACTACCAGTACACTGCCCAACAAAAAAATCCGACCTCCTGAATTCATGGAGGTCATTTACAGGGTCGGTAGAGGCCAGGTAGAGCCTCGGTAGAAAACAATGAAGAATACAGTTACAGCTCCCTTTCGGTTGCAAGTGTCAGCTTTCCGTGGAAAGTGCCCTGCCTCGTTGGCAGGGCACTTTGACTAAGTGTAAAAATAAAAAAACAAAAAAATACAAAAGACATAAAGAAACTAGCACGATTGTGGGCAAATGCATGGGCTCGTTGCACTACTCTCGAAATGTGCAAAACGAGAGTGAATCTTCCATTAGAAAATGGAAAAATACGCCATCGCGATTTTTGTCTTTTGTGCATGTCCAGAGAAGTGGAGAGAGACCCTATCTTGGTTGCTTGTCTTTCTACCTGATCCTTGCCTTTGCCTTCGTTTACTGCATTTGATGCACCCATGAGTAGGGTAGGAATTTTGTGCAGACGATAATGTTCTCATTTCTGCTTATTTTTTTGATCGAGCTGTTGGGATTGTTGCATTTTGCATGCTCAGAAATTGCGAAAGTAGGTAGTTGGGTAGTTGCTTGTCCAGAAACCAGCAAACACCGTGTAGGGACGCGCGTAAGTACGGCCTGTGTGCGCACTTACAGGTGTCCCCGCGTAGCGATTCGCGACCAAACCACACATAACAAGGACGACGAACGATTGGATGAGGTCACTCCATGTCAGCAACAAAGTAATCCCGTGTGAACACGTGTAAGCACGACTCGATTCGCGCGGCCTGCACGTGCTCACACGCGGTGATTGCAATCGGCACTGAC